TGCTGCTGCTGCAGCAGCAAACCCCACAGCAGCAGGCGCTCTGGTGTCTGTACAGCTGAGGCAAGCGCTGCTGCCGCTGCAGCTGCACCAGCCCCACTGCATCTTGGGCTTCAGCTCGCGCCGCGCTGCTGCTGCTGCTTCAGCTGCTGAAATTGATGCTGCTTATTTGCGGCTGCTGCTGCTGCTCGTGGGCGGGGCCTCCCGAGACAGCAGCAGCTCGCCAGCGGACTGGCTGCAGCAAACCACCAGCAGCAGCAGCAGCAGCAGCACGGACTGGATGGCCTTGTTTGTCTTTGAGAAGCTTGAGTCGTATTTTGGGGTCCCTGGTGCAGCAGGCGCTGCAGCAGGCAATGCAGCAGCAGCTGGCAGCAGCAGCAGCGGCAGCGGCAGCAAAGCGTCCAGCCGCTGCAGCAGTAACTACGGCGACAGCGAACACAACACAGCAGCAGCAGCACCAACAACAGCAGCAGCAGCAGAGGGGCAGACACAGGAAGTGTCTCCGTCTGCTTTGGATGTTTGTCTCCTCATGGGGGTTTTGTACAGGGCCCGCTGCGCCCTGCTGCAGCAGCAGCAGCAGCAGCAGCAGCCACAGTTGCTGCTGGAGCCGTTGCCGCTGGAGCAACTGCAGCAGCAGCACGACTTCCATGCAATTGCGAACGCACCTTGTGCCAGCAGCAGTAGCAGCAGCAGCAGCGAAGCGAACACTCCACGTGTGTCTCAGCAGCAACAACGGCAGCAGCAGCAGCAGCAGCAACTGCTGCTGGATTTGGACGATGGTTTCTTCCCTTCCTATCAATCTGTAGTTTGTCAAGTGCTTTGTAAGACGCAGCGCGACGCTCTCAGCAGCAGCAGCAGCAGCAGCAGCAGCGGCAAGCCTGCTTTGGTTGCTGCAGGAGAGCGGCCAGTGGTTGGCGCGGGGCCCTCAGGAGCATGCTCAGCAGCAGCAGCAACAGCAGCAGGTGACACAGCAGCAGCAGCTGGCGCCGCTGCAGCAGCAGCAGCAAAGGAAGAGGTGGGGGCCCCTGCGGGGCCCCCGCTGCTGCTGTCGCTGCTGCAGCCGCGGGCCAGCACTTTGCTGCAGTCCTTGCATGCGTTTGCTGCTGCTCTTTTGGGGTCTTTGAGGCGAGCTGAGGCGCTGCTGCAGCTCAGCGGGCAGCAGCAGCTGCTGCTGCGGAAGGAGCAGCAGCAATTCATGGCAGAAGCTGCCAGGCGCTTCAAGCCCTGGGCGCTCAAGTTCGGCGGAAACACTTAGTGAGCGCTGCTACTGCTGCTGCTGCTGCTGCTGCTGCTGGTCCTGTTGCAGCAGCAGCTGCTGCTGCTGCTTCCGCCGCTTCCGCTGCTGCGGCGGCTGCTGCTCTGCACAGTAGTGCCCCCTCTGCTGCCTGTCGCTGTTGTGTCTCCTTGCCTCTGCCTCGCTGCTGCTGCTGCTGCTGCTGCTTGTGCTGCTGCTTCCTTCTGCTGCTGCATTTGCTGCTGCTGGTTTGCGGCTGCGTGTCACTAAGAGTCTCCCTTAATGTCTGTCTCCTCGTGCGTGGGGAGTCTCCGTAGCTGGCAGCGGCCTAAGGTGCTGTGCGTGTCTCTGTGTGCTGCTGCTGCTGCTGCTGCTGCTGCAGCTGCTGCTGCCCGTCCCCGCTTTCCCCCGTCGAGCTGCTGGTGGAGGAACACCGCGCGCTGCCTGTGGGGTGGGAGTTTGAGGTGTCTCCTCACCCCCTTGCTGTTGCAGTGCAGCAGCACAGCTTCATTTTGCTGCGGCTGCTGCTGGCGGACAGGCCTGCAGCAGCAGCAGCAGCAGCAGCAGCGGAGGGCACGGAAGATGCTGCTCAGTACGTTGCTGCTGCCATACAAGAACTTGCAGCAGCAAACCCCAACGGGGTCTTCACTGCCGGTGTACGTCGAGCTGCTGCTGCTGCTGCTGCTGCGGCTGTTCTGTAGCTGCGTAGGCGCAGCTCGCGCTGCTGCTGCTGCTGCTGCTGCTTCTGCTGTTGTTGCCGCGCTGCTGCCGCGAGACCTCCAGGCCCCGTGAGCCGCCGCCGCCACCGCCGCCGCTGCTGCTGCTGCTGCTGCTGCTGCAGGACGACCTGGGTGAGGGGAGCAACTTGTACCACTTTGCTGCCTTCAGCGGCAGCGAGCCGCTGCTGCTGCTGCTGCGGCACGAGCTGGGGGGCGAAGTGTGGGGCCCCTTAATGCTGTCCAAAAATGCATGCGGCTGCACGCCAGCAGAAGTGGCGCTGCGGACCCACAGGCGCGAACGCAGCTTCACTGCTGCAGTCCTTGCTGCAGACGCTGCGGCCAAACGGGTGCTGCTGCTGCTGCTGCTGCTGCTGCTGCAGGGCTGCTGCTGCAGGGCTGCGGATGCATTGTTGCTGCTGCTGTGCCTGCTTTTGCAGCGCTGCTGCTGCAGGGCTGCTGCTGCAGTGCTGCTGATGCAATGGTGCTGCAGTGCTGCTGCTGCTTCTGCAGTGCTGCTGCTGCTGCCGAACTGCGGGTCTGTTTCTGTGCTGCTGCTTGCGCCTCAGCTGCTGCAGTACTGCGCGTACACCTCGCGGCGCTCCGTGAACTTGGTGCTGCTGCTGAAGCTGCTGCTGCTGGCAGCAGCTGCTGCAGCAGCTCCGCTTTTGCTGCTCCGGCTTGCTGCTTGTCCCCTGCTGCTGGCCGCTCAGGACGTGCCCCCGTGGCTGCTGCGCGCCGTTGCCTTTGCTGCAGCAGCAGCAGCAGAGGTAGCAGCAAAGCAGGTGCGGCTGCTGCAGCAAAGCTGCTGCTAGTCTGTTTTCCCTTCTGCTGCACCTCTTTGTTCCGTTCCCTTCGCACCTGCTGCTGCACCTGCTGCTGCTGTTGCTGCTGCTGCAGAGCGGAGACAGCGAGGGCTGGTTTGCTGTGAAGGTCAGCTCCGTCTGCGGCTGCTGTTTGTTCTTTCCTTCTTTTCTCAAGGCGCTGCTGCTGCCGCCTTTCTCCTTGTAAGTCCAGCAGCGGCACTAGCAGCAGCAGCAGCAGCTGCTGCTGTTGCTGCTGCTGCCAAGTAGGATGAGTTTGTTTTTGTTTTTCCGCTGTTGTCTCGTGTCTTTTTTGCTTTTTATTTTTTTTCATCTGCAGCACAGAAATGGAATAACAGCAGCAGCAAACTGTGTCTCTTCAGGTGCTGCAGTATCTCTTTCTCTGTGTTTGCTGTTGCTGCCGCCGAGGGAAGTTTGCTGCAGTGTGCTGCCGCATTTGAGTCCCTTATCTCTTGCTGCTGCTGCTGTCTGCTGCAGCTGCGGCGCTGCCCGCGACTTGCTGCGGCTCTTCTTGCTGGGGCTCTTCATTTCCTGGGTCTCCAGCTGCAGCAAACTGCTGGCAGCAGCAGCAGCAGCGCCTGAGGTGGGGGAGCAGACTGCTTGCTGCTGCTGCTGCTGCTGTTGCTGCGTTGCCGCTGTTGCTGCTGCTGCGCTCCAGCTTCTTCAAAGGGGGCCAATATATTGTGGAAGTCTTGGGGGCCCCCGAGGCCTTTGGGGCCCCCCCGGACTCCATATATGGTTTGGCGCTGGCGCAGGCGGGGCTGTTTTGTTCCTGCTGCTGCACTGCTGCTGCTGTGGCTGCTGCTGCTGCTGCATCTTTGTGTGCTGCTTCGAATGGAATTAAAAAGAAAAACAAATAAAGACTTCAGCATTAGTTGGGGTGTATGTACAGGTCTTGCGGCTGCTGGCGCGCCACTGCTGCTGCTGTCTCTCTTTTTGTCTCTCTCATTTTTTCTTTCACTTCAAGAACTGGCTGGCAGCAGCTTCGCAGCAGCTGCAGCAGCTACTGCAGCAGCAGCTGCAGCAGCTGCTGCAGCGCTCCTTTCCAGGTAAAGAGACACTGCAGCTGCAGCAGACCCAACAGCATCAGCGTTCAGCAGCAGCAGCAACAGCAGCAGAAGCCACAGCAGCAGCAGACTCGAAGCCGTTTACATCTTCTGTTTCTTTTGTCTGCTGCTGGCATTGAAGTACTTTTGTTTTAATTTTTTCTTTTTTTTGCTGCCTCCTTTGTCTCTATTCATTATTTAATTTATTTCTTTTTTTATTTTTGTTCTCCCTCAGAGGCCTCTCGGTCGTCTCTTGAGGAAAAGAGAACAGCAAAGACTCGTGCCGCGTCTGCTGCTGCTGCTGCTGCTGCTGCTGCTGCGGGTCAGCAGCAGCAGCAGCAGCAGCAACAGCAGCGGCAGCAGCGGCAGCAGCAGGAAAGAGAAGGAAGAGCAAAGCCTCTTCTTCGCCCTTTCCAGTTCGGTGAGGCTCCGCTGGCTCCATTCTGAAATTCAGGGTTTAGGGTTTAGGGTTTAGGGTTTAGGGTTTAGGCCGTCAGCGGGCGCTGGCTCTGGCGCTCCGCCCTCTGTTGCCTCTCCCTGCTCATCTGCTAACATCCAAATTAATTATTTTTATTTATTATTTTTTATTTATTTATTTATTTATTTATTTATTATTATTTATTTTTTCATTT